TAAGCTGGAAGGCTATTCCATGAATCCACTACCCTCTCAGTAAAGTAATACTTCCTGAAATTATCCACAAAAAGTTCAACCAGCACATCCTAAAATGGCATTGATATATAGACTAAGTGCTTCTGTTCTGGAAAGGTTCTTTCATATGGTCTGAGGAATTGGTAAATATTCTCAACCAGAATTACATCTACTTACAATTATCATCTGTCATTAATGAAAACTAATTGGAATTCCTGGATTTTAAAATCACTCTAACCATTGAGGGAAAGGTGGAAGCTGACTTCACAGCAAATTAACAGTCACCAACAGTTTATTACATTGACAGAACCACCCCTTCAGAATGAAGGCTGGTATCCCTTATGGCCAGTACTTAAAAGCACAAAGAAATTGCTTCACAGACTTGGCATTCCTAAAGGAGGCCAAAGAGATTCGGCTGAGATTTAAATCACAGGGTTATCCTAACAGGATAAACAAAAGAGCATACCAAAAAGCCATATCTATGGATAGACCAACTTGTTTACGCACCTCGAGACCCAAGTCATCCCAACTTACCATCCGTCATATTGGTACTTTTGACTAGTATTGGGAACCAGCTTGACATATACTCTCCAAGAACTATGAAAAATTAACAACAGCCCCAAGCTTATCTGCACGAAGACCAAGTAACTTGAGTGATATACTTGTACATAGCCATCTTGAATCAATATTAACTTCGTCCACATGGCTGTCAGAAACCAAGGGGGTATACAAATGAGGTAAATGCAAGGCATGTAACTACACACCATTGGAAGCTACCTTACTTTAAATATATCTTTAGGCAATTTAGCTATAACCTTGCATATTATTAGAGTTGAGATAACATTATCAGTCTTGATGTGCATATCAGCACACTAAATCTCTCAGAGTTTTGTTGTGCATATTCGCAAATTAAATGTAACTATAACTGTTCTTTCTACTACCTATTTTAGTTAGAATCTTTTTTTAAACTTCTGCCTAATACCATTGTGGGGGGCAGGATAAGGGCCAGATACAGGTGATATGATTCTTGAATAGGCATTTGGATAAAGGGTCCCCTTGAAGGCACAGATGAGCACACTGCTAGGAACTACCTAAGACCAATCCACTTTAGAATTTGTGTTACCAAGTGTACAAATAAGATACCCCATTTTGTTCCTATGTTTTGCCATATCAATTTTGTAACATTATCAATTTTGTAACATTGAGATCCATACCACTATTGATACAATTTCCAACTGACGTATCAACTTTATAGCCGGCACGACTGTTAGGCTGGATCCCCTCTGCATAATTTTGTATTCCCTTCCCTGTAATATAACAGTGCGATACTGAGCTTCTCTTATGATTGGTCTATTTATCTAACTCTTTCTGTCTGTCAAGGTGGCGGTCCGGTGCTCAGGACCCAGACCTTGTCCGGGCGGCGGTGCGTGGACCAGGACCCAATATGCCTGTTGTTCAGAGTAGGAGTCACAGTGTGGAGGTGGATTAGCAGGGTCTGGTGCAGGGTAACCGCACACCCCCTGGTGTTGAGCACCAGCGTTTGTGCAGCCACGTACCAGAACCCTGATTCAGCTTATGCGGATCCCAGGAACTAAGAGCAGGTAATTAAGCAGACCTCCCAGAAGCTGAATAGGGAGGCTCTGCAGCAGGGATGTATCCAGTACTGAAGCAAGGCAAAACTAGAGATAGGCACCATACATGAAAACAAGACAGAACTAGGAGAACAGGGAAAGACTAGAGAAAGCAAGGCAAGACACCATACAAGAAAACAAGACCAAACTAGGAGAACAAGGAAAGACTAGAGATAGACACCATGCATGAGAACAAGACAAAACTAGGAGAACCCAGAACCAGAGCAGGACAGAAAGCAGAACCTAGAACATGTACACAAGATATGAGGAAAACAAGAACATAACATGTGCATGACTGGACAGGACTGTACATGGACTGGGATTACAAGACAAAGTAAAACAAGACAATAGATACAAGGTAAAACAAGAGGAAACATAGCTAAGCACTATATATGAAAAGTATGGGGATTTAGTCACATTGTATGATCATAGATTGCACAAGACTGCCAACAACGCCAATGTACCCCATATCTGGCAGGTCCTACACTGCCTAATGCATGCTAAAACAACCATACTAAACCACAATACAGCACTTACCTGCAAGAAAGGGCAGAGGCTTGAAACACTGCTGCAGGTCCAAGCTGAAACAAAAGGAAAGTGGAAAACAAACGGGTGTGGCAACATAAAACAAACATTTAAATGAATTCAAGAGACTGGGAAATCCAGGGACGAAATATAAGAATGAACCCAGAAACCCAGCAACAAAGAAAACCAGACATAGACCAGAAAACCAGAAAAACCAAGCAAGGACAGCAAAAAGAGTACTGGATACCAGAAGCCATTGCCAGAATGATCCGCAATATCGAATCTGCTCAATATCATAGCATCAAATCCTGACCGATAAGAGACGCATTTGCGAACGAGATATAGAGTTTTGGGAATTGCCATTTGTAATGGATCACCTGGCACCCCGACTAGGTACCTCTGTTGAAGGATGCTCCTAGCGCTTCCTGAGGGCTCCAAGCACTCTAGCCGACACCATAACCACCGTAGACTCCTTCAGAGAGCAAGACAGGAACACGCTCCTACAAGAGCTTAGTAGTGATATAGTAAGATAGTATGGCTAGCATAGCAATCCCATGTAGCAGATTCCCCAAATAAGAGACGGCACTCCAAATTGAGGGTGAAGTAGAACTGAAGTTTTAATGAAACACTCTGCTTTTATGCACATTTTACACACATAGTACCGCCCACAGGGTTTTGAAGAACAGCCAATCCAACACGTACAATATAGTAAATCACTCCCATTCATTTCCACAAAATCCTCCCCTCTGCCTGTGATATAATTACTGAACACAATGGGTTAATGTAATTATCACAGGCATGAAAAATATACTTTTTATACATGTACTGTAACTTTAAAACTATGCATTCAATCTTCATAAAAATTACATATTAATAATCAGCATACTTTAAATATAAACACTCTCAAAAATCATACAAATGCCTCCAGCGGTTAAAAAGTTAACTGGAAGTCCTTTCTGACTGACTGCAAGCACATTTTCATGCCCAAAACAGTTCCATAGATTTGAGCTGTGCGGTTGGTCTATTTGAGGCAGAAAAATGCACGAAGGGGGCACCATTCATGCAAGTGGCTCAGCATAGCAGTACATTCAAACTGCCGAATGGGACTTAGTTTCCAGCCGCAGAGTCTAAGTGTAAGAGAAGGTAAGGGTCAGCGGTGTTCGTTGAAATGTGTAGCTGATTTCAGTTCCATTAATTTGGCTGCACACACCGCTGACCTCGTTCGGCTGAATAAAGATGGCCGCCGCCATGTGTTCGTCTGCACGAAAGGCGGCCCCCCAGCGGTCGGCAATTTACCTACAGCAGGCTCCCAGCCTGGGAGGTAAATTGCCTGCACGCTTCCACTTCTGGGTAGTCCACCTGTGTGGTACTTGGTTCAGTAAGCCCCATTTAATGAACCAAGTGGGAGAAAGCCATGCACAACGGATTTTAAAGGTTTGGGGACATAATCTTAAAGGGTCATTGTAACACAAAGGCTCAGTATGTCCCCAGACGGTTCTTAAAGGGCCAGCACGGTCCACTACAAGTCCATAAACCCAAATGCAGTTCTTAAAGAGCCATACACAGTCCATAAGCCCCAATACTGTTGTTAAAGGGCACAATCTCCCAGGGGCCATAGTCAGAAGGTAGGAGGTGGGCAAACAGGCCCCACCAAAAACCAGTGGCGAGGTCACTTTCGCCACACCGTTCCACTCATCTCTCACTAGTCGATTGTAACATCATACCAAGGTGGACAAGATAAAAATTATCGCTCTGTGTCTATACAGTCAGGTCCATAAATATTGGGACATCAACACAATTCTAATCTTTTTGGCTCTATACACCACCACAATGGATTTGAAATTAATTTAACAAGATGTGCTTTAACTGCAGAATTTCAGCTTTAATTTGAGAATATTTACATCCAAATCAGGTGAACGGTGTAGGAATTACAACAGTTTGTATATGTGCCTCCCACTTTTCAAGGGACCAAAAGTAATGGGACAATTGGCTGCTCAGCTGTTCCATGGCCAGGTGTGTGTTATTCCCTCATTATCCCATTTACAAGGAACAGATAAAAGGTCCAGAGTTAATTTCAAGTGTGCTATTTGCATTTGGAATCTGTTGCTGTCAACTCTCAATATAAGATCCAAAGAGCTGTCACTATCAGTGAAGCAAGCCATCATTAGGCTGAAAAAACAAAACAAACCCATCAGAAAGTTAGCAAAAACATTAGGTGTGGCCAAATCAACTGTTTGGAACACACTTAATGTAGCGGATGGCACTGGGCTGTCCTGAGAATTACATGTGTTTGAATGCATTCGTGTAAAATAGCAAAGTTATATGTGTTAAATGTATTGTATTCGTCTGAATGTTAGGTAGTTTCATTCCCTTAGTTTGTTCGAATGAAACTACCGAACAGTCAGACCTCCCCTGTGTGAAGTGTGCCTTCAATTACCTGTTGCAACATTGTTGCGAATGGGTAATTGACAAGCTGAGTAGCCGTCCTTTGTTCTCGGGGGTGGCCGCCATTCGGGAAACGAACACGTGGCGGCGGCCATTTTAAAACTCCCGAACAGCGGTGTTTTGCCGTTGAGTGTCTGGAACTCAAATCGGGCACTCGACTAGGCGAACACCGCTGAGACCTCCACAAGCCCGGTCCGTTCGGTTCCAAACTACCGAACGGCCCCTCGTTCGGTAGATAGAAACAACCGAACGAGGGGATTCAGGCGAACCCTCCCTAGTCTCTGTAGCTAGAGGCTTTCGTGCAGTTTATTCCCTTACTCCAGGACCGACCGCAGGGCCCCATCGCATGGAACCCCATTCGGCTGTTCTCTCCAGTGCGGTCGGTTATTTTATTCCCTCCATAAATTTCCCGAACCCCTGGTCTGATCTGGGTGATTTTTGGATATGTTGTTCACCCAGATCAGGGCTACCAGGGGATGTATCATTTAAAGTGGTACCCCTAAGTTTAGGGGTACATCCAGAAACTGGGGGGAATTGGTGTGCTGGATAAGGGGATTATGATGCAGGCTGAGGGGAGATGTGTGGGAGGTTACCAGAGCAGGATTGGCTACTGTACAAATTAATGGAAATCCCTCCCTTGCATGGGAGCAGGCTTTATAAGGCCACTGTGTGAATAAATCTTTAGTTCTGCTCCTGATACTGTGTGTCGTCCAGTTATTGGGATTGCTGTTGGGATACTGCTGTGTTATTTTGCCTGCTGGATACTTTACCATATGGATTTATATTGCTTGTTCCTAAACCTCCCTGGGATCTAAAGTGGAGATAGGCTGTGTAATACCAGCTCTCCGCTATACTTAAAAATAAAGAACGTAAGCTCAGCAACACAAAAAGACCCGGAAGACCACGAAAAACAACTGTGGTGGATGACCGAAGAATTCTTTCCCTGGTGAAGAAAACAACCTTCACAACAGTTGGCCAGATCAAGAACATTCTCCAGGAGGTAGGTGTATGTGTGTCAAAGTCAACAATCAAGAGAAGAATTCACCAGAGTGAATACAGAGGGTTCACCACAAGATGTAAACCATTGGTGAGCCTCAAAAACATCTAAAAAAGCATTCACAGTTCTGGAACAACATCCTATGGACAGATGAGACCAAGATCAACTTGTACCAGAGTGATGGGAAGAGAAGTGCATGGAGAAGGAAAGAAACTGCTCATGATCCAAAGCATACCACCTCATCAGTGAAGCATGGTGGTGGTAGTGTCATGGCGTGGGCATGTATGGCTGCCAGTGGAACTGGTTCTCTTGTATTTATTGATAATGTGACTGCTGACAAAAGCAGCAAGATGAATTCTGAAGTGTTTCGGGCAGTATTATCTGCTCATATTCAGCCAAATGCTTCAGAAGTCATTGGACAGCACTTCACAGTGCAGATGGACAATGACCCGAAGCATACTGCAAAAGCAACCAAAGAGTTTTGTAAGGAAACCAAGTATATTCCAACCTCATTCGGTAGTTTCCTCCCGAACCGCCAGAGCCTTAGTGATTATAGCCCTCCGTTCGGTAGATAGGGTAGACAAATCCTATAGTAATTCCAATAGCTTCACAAGATAATTCCCTTAGTGAAACACACGAATCCCCAAACAGCAGCCGAAGTCAAGAAGAAGGGTACAAAATGAACTGAGCTTTAATGGGTGCACACAGCTTTTATGCAAGTCCCCATGCAAGGGGACAGCCCTCAGGGAGGGACAAACAATAGCCAATCATAAACAGTAAAATGTTAACACACACCTACAATTCCCTCCCCTAGCCCAGGAGATAATTTAGTCTGATAAAATAGTAACTTAATTATCTCCGGGCTGAAAAATCACTTTTTTCCCCAACTTTCAGAACACCCCTTTATACTGGGGTGTCCCCTGATAGCCCTGATCTGGGTGACCAACATATTCGAATTTCACCCAGATCGGTTCAGGGGTTCGCAAATTTTATGGAAGTCTTGTGTGACCGGCTCACCCTGGGCTGCATGCCCTAAACAGTTCCACGAATTTGGTGGGTTTTGCCGGTCACGTTCGAAAAACATAAAAATGATGAAAAGTCCCGAATGGATCCCTCTGGCTCCTAGCAGCGTTCGTGCCCCTCTGTCGAATGCACCAAAGTACCGAATAGCGCTCTTCTAGCTATTCAGTAAATAGAGTTCCAGTGTTCGTCTGTTTGGGACCGGTGTTCAGGAAGTCGAGTGTCCGCAAAACAGTTCCATGCACTCGACGACCAGGTCCCGCTGCCTTTGTTCGTATGAACAAAGATGGCCGCGGTTTTCTCTGCCACATGGCGTTCGACTAACGAACGCTGACCGCACAGACAGAGGTAGCAATTTCACTTAAATCTTTGATGTTTAATGAGCCAGAGGGTGGTCCTCATTCAGTAGTTTCATCTACCGAATGCACTAGGCAGTACATAACGAATAAAAAGGGAATGCACACTGTAAATCACATAGGTATAGGGGAATTTCTTCACAAGTTTTTTAAGGGAAAGAAGTGGAATGTTATGCAATGGCCAAGTCAATCATCTGACCTGAATTCGATTGAGCTTGCATTTCACTTGATGAAGACAAAACTGAAGGAAAATGCCCCAAGAACAAGCAGGAACTGAAGACAGTTGCAGTAGAGGCCTGGCAGAGCATCACCAGGGATGAAACCCAGCGTCTGGTGATGTCGATGCGTTCCAGACTTCAGGCTGTAATTGACTGCAAAGGATTTGCAACCATGTATTAAAAAGTGAAAGTTTGATTTATGACTGTTAATCTGTCCCATTACTTTTGGTCGCTTAAAAAGTGAGAGGCACATATACTGATTTGGATGTAAATACCCTCAATTTAAAGCTGAAAGTCTGCAGTTAAAGCACATCTTGTTTCTTTCATTTCAAACCCATTGTGTTGGTGTATAGAGCCAAAAGATTAGAATTGTGTCGATGTCCCAGTATTTATGGACCTGACTGTACCTCAGTTATATAACGAGTTACTTAGTTAGAGACATACTTACATGCTAAGCATCTACATACTAATGGTCAAAACACGGAGAGATCGATTCTCTCATTGGTGCTATAGTTAACTCTCTCAGTTCTGCCAGAAATACTAATTCATACAGACCAATAGATTGCCATATTAGTATGAGAAGAGTTTAGTAACTATTGTTTTATTTAACTCTTTCTAGTTCTGCTAAATTTCACCATTACAATTTCAGCAATCCAGGCAGACTAAAGATAAACCTATTTGCTTAGCAGATCACTTACTCTGCTTTCACACAAAGTAAATGCCTCCACGTACTTTCGGTTAGTGGGTACCATGGGCGTCCGCAGGGGGGGGGAAGGGGGGGCACTTGCCCCCCCTGGATTTTTCAGCTTGTTCTGCTATTTTTCATGTGAGATTTAAAATGAACTGCAATACCCCAGTAGGTGGCGCTGTGTAAGGAGAGAGACAGGGATAGGAAGCTGCATCTTATCCCTGCTTCTCTCTGCTGATTGAAACCGCAGGGGAGCAACACATGCAGCCAGAGAGAGCCTACAGATCAGGGGACTGAGGGATGGGGGGCCAGAGACAGCCTACAGATCAGGTAAGTGGGGGGAGGGTTTGAGAGGGGCAGCAGCCTATAGATTTGGGGGGCAGCAGCCTGTAGATTTGGGGGCAGCAGCCCATAGATTTGGGGGGGGCAGCAGCCCATGGATTTGGGAGGGGGCAGCAGCCTATAGATTTGAGGGCAGCAGCAGCCTTTTTTGGGGGCAGCAGCCCATAGATTTGGGGGGCAGCAGCCCATAGATTTGGGGGGGGCAGCAGCCCATAGATTTGGGGGCAGCAGCCTTTAGATTTGGGGGCAGCAGCCCATAGATTTGGGGGGGGCAGCAGCCCATAGATTTGGTTTGGGGCAGCATCCTATAGCAGCAGCCCATAGATTTGGGGGGCAGCAGCCTTTAGATTTGGGGGCAGCAGCCCATAGATTTGGGGGGGCAGCAGCCCATAGATTTGGGGGGGCAGCAGCAGCAGCCTATAGATATATAGAAATGAACAGGAAGGGTCAGCAAGGAGCTGAAAGGTAAAGCAGCACAAAGGTAAAGTAGAAGGAGCAGAAAGGGTCAGAAATGAGCTGGAAGGGGCAGAAGGAGCACAAACATAAAGTAGGAGAATGAGCAGGAAGGGCCTGCAAGGAGCAGGAAGGAGCACAAAGGGACAGCAAGGAGGACAAAGGTAAAGGAGCAGAAAGAATCAGAAGGAGCACAAAGGTAAAGTAGGAGAAAGAGCAGAAAGAGACAGCAAGGAGCACAAAGGTAAAGTAGAAAAGGGAGCAGAAAGGGTCTGCAAGGAGCAGAAAGGGATCAGAATGAGAAAGGAGCAGAAGGGCGCAAAATAAGCAGAAAGTAGCAGAAAGGTAAAAGAGCAGAAGGGGCCAAGGATAGAAAACAGTGTCAGAATAAAAAAAAAGACTGTCAAATGAAGGAGAGGAAAAGGAGATTGGAGCAGGAAGGACAAATGAAGTGAACCCTCCACTTTATTCTGGACACCACATCATAAGGCTTTGGTACCTGGGCCAGGCAGGGAAACGCTGGACCTTCTCATCTCCAAAGGTAAAAAAATATCGGTGTTAATGTGTTCACTTTTATTTACTGAGTGTCAGGAAGCACAGAGTGCCGTTGGGTAGGGGTGTTGCTGATTGGCTAGAGCGGTCAGCTGGCACTCTAAGCCAATCAGTAGCTCCCCATTCATAAAAAAGTAAAAATATTTTTTGAACCGGGAACTAGCGATTGGCTTAGAGTGTCAACTGACCACTCTAGCTAATCAGCGGCACCCATGCCTGACGTCAATCTGCACTTCCTGACACTCTGTTTCAGAAGCCAAATACCACTGAGCGACCTGGAGCTGGAGGAAGCCTTTGGGGTTAAACCATTTGAGAGCGATTTAACCCCTTAAAGGAAAGCGAGCACCCAGGGGCTTCCTGGCATCATAGCATTTTCATTTAGGTGAAGTTGTTATGGTGACCAGAAATGTCCTTTAATTTGCTTAAGGGAACACTATAGTGTCAGGAATACAAACATATATTCCTGACACCATAGTTGTGAAAACGCTATTCACCCTGGCTTTATTTGATAATGGCTATGCCCCTTCCGTTTCATGACACTGTCAAAAAGGTACCAAGCATGGATGTTATTACAATTATGCCCCCCCTGGAAAAATTCCTGCGGACGCCCATGGTGGGTACTTTACTATATATATATATATATATATATATATATATTTATTTTTTTTAACAATAATCTTAGGTGGTGGTTCTACTCACTATATTTTACTGGCGTATAATGACTTTTTATTTATTGTTTTAATAAAAGTTAGGTTTTAAACTTATATGTGTGACGGAATGCTGGTACGCCGTCACTTGGACATAAAGGGCTCCTTTGTTTGGGTGGGCTCTGGTGGGGAGCATCCATTTATACTGCACAGGCTTAGACCTAGCCACAACATGGAGCAACAAGATGGTGCTGAACCAGAGACTGTGTGACCACGTTGGTGGAGGTTGGGACTGTCCCCTTTGTGACTAAGAGAATTGAGTCACCTATTGTTGACTGTGTGTTAATCCCTTTACCTAATGCATAATGTTTCCTGTGTCTGCAAAGTAGGTGTTCTGTGATGATTTTACAGGTGTGCCCTATTGGTTATTAATGGGCTTAGTGTGATTGGCTGTTCCAAACCTTTGTATGTTTACTTAAATACAAATACCTGTTGTGTCTAATA